CTGTTGCTGTGTGTGTTGTGTGCCCGCTCGGCCAAGGGGGGCTGTCACCAGGACCCCAGCCCCGCTCCGCCACTCGGTTGCATCCAGCACAGTATATATGCACCCGGTACGGCCCGACCTCTGGGCGTGCATATATAGGTATAGTTTCTGAAAATCCCCCCGCCGAGCATCCCTCCCCTCTCTCTCTGTCCGTCTCTCTCCCTCCTGGCCCCCAGCATCCCTGTCCCCCCTCCCCGCCGGATAACCTTCCCTTTCTGTTGCAGATTTTGAATACCTGCTGCCCAACAGCTTTGAGTCGGAGGGACATGTGTTCATTGCTCCCAGGTAGCTTTGCGTGTGCGCTTGCCGAGGTGTGCATCCACCCCGGCCCTGCTGCCAACCCCCCCATCGCCCCCCATCCTCACCTCATCGTGCCTTGTCCCCCCTCCCCGTCCCAATCGGGCCAAGCCCCTCAGTGCTCCCCAGAGAGGCTCCGCAAGCACCCTCCCTGCGGTGGGTACCAGCCCGGCGTGAGCGGGCACAGGGAGGAGCCGCATGCCCGGGGAGGGGGCCCAGCACCCAGGGCGACTGTATGATCTGCCGTTGGCGCTACCGTGCCCACGGGCCACTGGAAATTTTCAGAAACCGTATATCCCCGTCCCCCGTGGGTGTGTGAGTACCTGTATCTGTGCGTGTCGGTGTAGATATTGAGGTGGCTGCTCCCTCCAAGCAGGGGGCAGGGGGCCGGGGGCCGGGATGGGCTGGCTGGGGGGCGCATATATAGGTATAGTTTCGAAAAACCCCCCCGCCGAGCAAGGGGCTGGCGGTGGCATCATACAGTCGCGCTGGCGGTGGGGGCTTAGGAAAAGGAAGGGTAGGTTTTGGCTCAAATTCAGGATGCCCCAGGGGGGTTGGGGAGGCTGCTGGCTGCTGGCTGTGAAAAGGGACATGCAAACAGAAGTGTCCTCTGCCCTGGGCTGTGCCACCTAGCAGGGACAAAGGGCTGTCCCTTGGCTGGCTGTTCGGGGAGCCCCGTGGCTCTGCTGGCAACCCTGCCCTTCCCACAGCTGCAGCACAACCTCTGTCCAGCCCTAATTAGCATTACGAACTAATCAACTGTCACTTATACATCATTCCAACAGCTAAACAACCTGCTACTGGATGCTTTAGTATTGCGGTTCTTGGGGACTGCAGCAGGTCCTGCGGGTCCTACCACCTGCAGGTACCCCCTGCCCTCCCTGCCTACAGCAGCCATTGCTCGCTCACTTACACTAATTCTGGGTAAACAGCCCAAAACAGCAGCCCTGGCTTTTTGGGGGGACCTTCGTCCCCGGGTGCTGCACAGGGCAGCAGAGGTGAGGTCCGGGAAATGTAGGAGCCAAAGCAGAGTATTAGTGAGAAACAGAAAAACCCTATTACTAAAAAATTGGCTGGTAACTGTGCTAAGGGAATAAATATGGAGGCAATGTCTGAGCCCAAGGTCCAAGGCATGGGTCTGCCCCCAAACTGCCCCACACAGGCTGCGGTGATGGGGTCAGTGTTTGGCACGGGGCTCTCCAGCCGGTGCAGCCGGAGAGAAAAGGCGGGGTTTGAAAATCGGGCCAAGCCCCTCAGTGCTCCCCAGAGAGGCTCCGCAAGCACCCTCCCTGCGGTGGGTACCAGCCCGGCGTGGGCGGGCACAGGGAGGA